AAAGACACGTCTCTAAAAAAAAATTTTATTAAAAAGACCATTTTTCTCAGTAATATAGATTGATAGCTGATCAATTCATGTTATGTATGAAAGCATATCACATGATATTAATTAATCAACTGTATAGCCACAAAAAAAATCATACAATTACACTAATTTTTATTCGTACAGTACAAGATAGCGTTTTCGTACAGTACAGTTTATATGTATACTCAAAAAAAAAATCAAAATTGATGAGATTACACATGATTATTAACATGTGATTATGCTTATATACGTCCTATATAATCAAAAAATTTTTATGCATATGCACGTTATGCGTATACTTATAGGTTATATGGCCCAACTCGGGCCATAAAAATTTATGCATATAGGCAGGTTATGCTTATATGCAGTGTGCTTTTATACAAGTTCGACTGTATATATTATTATATATTATGAATATTATAATAAATGTATATACAGAATATAAAAAAATTTTTAAAAAATTCAATTTATATATTATATTATTATATTTTTTTATATGATAAAGATTTGATGAAATATTATAAAAAATAACAATTAATTTAATAGTATTTGAAAAAATTAAATATTAATCTAATAATTTGTAATTATAAATATTCGAAAAAAAATAAAATTTGTAAAAATAATTTAAAAATTTTTGGAAAATTCTGAAAATTTGTTATTATCGAAACTAAGAAAAAATAAAGAAAAAGAATATTAGAAACAGTATTGAATAAACTGATTTAATTCCTGTTACTTTTTTCTAAATAAGCATGTTAGCATCTGAAAGTATCCAACTTCTAGATAGCAAGGTTATAAATACCTTGCTGAGCGACTACTCTGTTATTTTAAAAACTATGGAAAAGGCAAAGACACAACAAAGTTATGAACATAACCTGCTGAATGAATACTTGTTATATAGGAACACAACAGAAAAAGCAAAGCATCGCAATATAAGAATTGTGTTATTCAAGAAAAGGGACTTTACCCTAATCTATAATTTAACACAATCAAAGGGATTCAAGAAGTTTCATTGGAGTCTCGGACAACCCAGAAATACAACATCAAATAAAGATTTTATGGATAATAATGGCATTCAACCTTGTCAAAACCAACACATTTACTTGAGAAATAAACAAGTTTTAAAAATTTCTGAAAAATTTTTGTCTTCTAAAATTTCATAAATAATTTTTGAAAAAGTTTGAAACAAGATAAACAAGATCATTTAGGTAAATAAACAAAATCATTTTGTGTTATATATTTAACTATTAAAACGGAATATTACATTTTTCATGATATTTTGTGCAATAAAAATTTTGAAAATTTATGAAAAGCTTTTTGTAATATTTCGTAAAAATTAACGAAATCTTTTGATATAAAAAAATTTCGAAGATTTATGAAAATTTATGGAAATTTATGCAAAAATTTACAGAAATTTTATATCCTGAAAATTTACGGAGTTATCTGCCCTTAAAAATTTCCTAATGTATATCAACTAGACGAGATATCCAACAAATCTTCAGAATGAATGAAATTTAACAAATATGCTTCTGACTGGCTGTTCAGATTACTAGTTTTTGGGAGCTCTCATAATGGAAAAACAAATATAGTTATTAATCTCATGTTGGATAACAAACTCCAATATATGCTCAAGGAAAAAAAAGGTGAGCGATATATTAGAAATGATGATCTTGTATTAATAGGAAAACATTTTGAGCCAAAATGGAAACTAGTTAAAAATTCTTTTCAGATTTTTGCAAATGGATCAAAATCATATCGAGAGGATGTTACATTTAAAAAAAAAACATCAAATAAGATTCCAGATATAACTAAATTCTTTCCAGAACAAAATACAGTTACTGTATTTGAGAATTTATGTGCTGAGCTAAAGAAAATTCAAGAACGAATTATTCTTTACTTCATTAGTGGCCGGCATCAAAATATCTTGTCAATATATGTGTCACAGAAGTATACACAAATATCAAAAATTATTTGTGAAAATATCTCCTTATTCCAAGGTAGTGGAAGTCAAGAAGACATATACAGAATCATGCGTCAATATACAGATGATCCAAAAAAAGTATTCAGAATAATTGATAAACATTTGCAGAATTAAAATTTTGTAGTCTTTGATTTCTCTAAAACAATTGATGATCCTCTTGTAATTAGGTTAGGTTGAGATACTACTTTAAAATTAGATGAATAGAACTTATCTTCCTGCATATATGCCTAAAGCCAGCAAACAATTTCATGTTATATTTTTATCTTTATCATATATAAAATCGTGTGCGAGTTCTGAAAAAGAACACCAATCACTTTATCAAGAAAAAAAAATTATGCATTACAAATTAATTTAGTCAATAAGCCTGATGTTGATGAAACTTTATTAAATTTTACTATATAACAACGAATTATATAATAATTTTCTTTCTTTACTAATTATAGCAATAGAAATTACAGAAAATAATTATCAAATTCGATAGTTAAAGAAATTATGTATTTATTTTTTTGTTTGGTTTCTGTTTTTTCCTTTTATTTAGACTTAGACTAATATCTGAAATTGCATTTTTAGGTGTCTTGGGTATAATAGTTGGATTATGCATGAAACTACTTGGTTGAAAAGAGCGATTGTGGTTATTTCGATTTGAGTAATAATTATCAATATGATACTGAATGGAAATAAAAAGGTAAGTGGGGAGAAAATTGTAAGAATGTTATAACTTTTTCAAGAAAAATTTTACCTTAAAAAAATATGTTTCCAATATTAATTTTCGCATGAGATTGAACTCTAAAAATTCTTGGGCAAGCTTGATTTCGAATAGTTGAAAGAAATGATAGATGCCATCGTATTCCAGATCCATCATATAAAAATATATATACCCTTCTATAATATTTTTATGAGAAAGTGTTTTAAAATATAAATTTACCAAAATGCAAAAAGAAAATTTACTATATATATGACCTCCAAAAATTTGTACTCCTGATTTATTTTCATATAATAATGCATTGTTTATGTCACCTTGGTAAAAGATAGCTACTTTGTAAAGGTTATATCTACCAACTTTACTTGTTCTTATTACTGAGAAGGATTTTGCTTCAACAAAACACGATTCCTTACGTTCTCCTTTTTCTATAATTCTATATATAGTTAGATCAGTTTTTTTTCCTTGTGAATGACTATAGGTGAAGTGGTGATTCTTTGATGATAAACTTTGGGAATTCGCATTTATTGAAAAAAAGTAAGATTAAGAGAAATAAGAGTGGAAACAATGAATAATTATAAATTTACAAAGAACATACCAAACTGCATCATAATTAGAATCCTAAAAAGTTTCCTTAAAAGTATCATATATGTATTCGTACATAACAATGTCTTCATTTTCATCTTTACTTGAATCTGGAGACATATGTAACCTCTCATAACTTGGAGAAAAGAAAGGTCAGATAAAAGGCAATAAAGAAACAACAGAAAATAAAATAAAAATAATTACAACACGCGTGTTACGATTTGAGTTGTCTCAAAAATACGTCTTTCTTCATCTGAATAAATCACTTTGACTTACATTTTGTAAAATTTTAACCGAATTTATCACCTATTTTTTATTACAAACAATGGTATGAGATTATCATAAATCTGTTTACATAATAGCACAACACTCTTACCTTCTCATATTCATTCATGATGTTTTCAAAGAACTCTACTAAGTCAAGTTGACTTGGTTGACGAACATAAGAACACCAATTTTGTTTATTCATAATTACATATGATGGCTTCTTCATTCTCGTTAAGTCAACCAACATAATATGATGAAGGGATTTGTAACACAAAGTTTTATTAGATAGTCAGATTACCATCAGTGATGAAGCTAGAGCAATGCTTACAAGATTTCTTCAATGTTCAATGAAAAGAAGAAAGTATCACTACTCTCTAATCTATCAATATTAGTAATTTGAAAATTACAAAATGTATTTGAAATATTACATTCACCAATAAATCACTAGAACAGATAAAGAGGATGAAATTGTCAATATAGTTTCAAAAAAAAGATACAAAATCAGGATCAGAACAGTAAACTTACATCTTTTTGTGAAAGACGGTCGTAGATACAGTGGTGTGCAAAAAAAATGACAATTTTAAAAATCACGTTATCTCGATGATTAGCAAATCAATTAAAATGTATTTTATATCATTTGAAAGCCGAAAATCAGCAGATTTTATTAAAAAAAATTTAATATGATATTCGTTCACCATTTTTTTCAATAATCTCTTTACAACGTTGTGGCATTGAATTTACAAGATTAATTAGAATGCTATTTGGAATTTTTTCCCATTCTTCACCCAAAAAACTTTCTAATTCGGTAATATTTTTTGGTTGACGTAACTCCACATTCCTCTTAACAATTGCCCAAAGATTTTTGATAGGATTCAGGTCCGAACTATTAGAAGGCCAATCCATAAATTCTTGAACATTATTATTAAGAAATTCTTTGGCAATACAGCTGGTGTGCTTCGGGTAATTATCTTGTTGTAGCCGCCATCGTCCTTTTAACATTCTATTAACCTCCGGGAGATGTTTTTCTAAGATTTCTACATAAAATTTTCCATCCATTATACATTTAAAACAGAAAAGACTTGTTTTTCCTTT